TTCTGAGGTGGGTTTGAACCACCAGCCTTCTGGTTAGCAGTCAAATGCCTTAGGCACTAAGCCACCAGAGCTCCCATAGATTATATAATTTCATATATACACACACACACCAAATTTTGTTTATTCAATCATCTGTTGCTGTACACTCCCCCCCACCAATTTTTGGCTATCATGAATAATGATGCAATGAACATTGGTGGCCCAATATCTGTTTCAACCCTGGTGTTCAAATATCTGTTTGTGTCTCTGCTATCAAGTCTATTGGGTATATTACTAGAATCTTTGACTTTTAATTGAAAAGTTTATTCCATTTACATTTAAAATAGTTACTTATAAGACTTCACATGTTAAACTGATAACAACCTAGTTTGAATTAATACTAGCTCAGTTTCAATCATATGCAGACTGCTGTTTCTATACATTTCAGTCTATCTCCTTTTATGTTGTTATTGCCACAAATTACATCTTTAAACATTATGTGTCCATTAACATAGATTTGTACTTACAGTTTTATGCATTTGTCTTAAATCATATAGGAAATAAGTGAGAAATTACTAACCAAAAATACAATAATGGCTTTGTATTTACTTATATAGTTATCTCTATATAGAAATTTGGAAGACAGCTACCTGGCCAATCCACTGGAAGAGATCCATATTTATGCCCATTCCAAAGAAAGATGATCCAACAGAATGTGAAAATTATAGAACAATATCATTAATATCACATACAAGTACAATTTTACTGAAGATAATTTAAAAATGGTTGCAGCAATATATTGACAGGAACTTCTGGAAATTCAAGCCAGATTCACAAGAGTGCGTGGAATGAGGAGCATCATTGTTGATGTCAGATGGATCTTGGCTCACAGCAGAGAATACCAGAAAGATGTTTACTTGTGTTTTATTGACTATGCAAAGGCACTCAACTGTGTGGATCATAACAAATTATGGATAGCATTGTGAAGAATGGGAATTCCAGAACACTTAAATGTGCTCATGAGGAACCTATATATAGATAAGGAAACAGTTGTTCAAACAGAACAAGGGGATACTGAATGGTTTAAAATCAGGAAAGGTGTGTGTGAAGGCTGTGTCCTTTCATCATAGTTATTCAATCTGTATGCTGTATCTTCAATTGCCTCATATACAGGTGAGAGCTGGAGAATGAAAAAGGAAGACTGAAGAAGAGTTGATGCTTTTGAGTTGTGGTGTTGGTGAAGAATGCAGAAAATACCATGGATTGCTAAAAGAACTAACAAATCTGTCTTAGAAAAAGTGCAGCTGGAATGCTCTTTGGAAGTGAGAATGGCCAGACTTTGTCTCACCTACTTTGGTCATGTTGTGAGAAGGATATCATGCTTGGTAAAGTGGAGAGTCAACAAAAAAGGGGAAGGCCCTCAAGAAGATGGATGGACACAGTGGCTACAATGATGGGCTCAGGTATAGCAAGGATCGTGGGGCTGGCACAGGAAAGGGCATTGTTTCTTTCTGCTGTACATAGGGTCACTATGAGTAAGTTGGAGATGACTCGATGGCACCTAACAACAACAACAACAACATGCTTAGCAAATAATCTGAGGAGCTGGACTATATGAAGAATGCTGCATCAGGACTGGAGGAAGACTCATTCACAACCTGCGATATGCAGATCTGGAGTTAGAAAA